ATTTAACTGGCGAAACACGAGTCAGCTTTTATTTTGAAGTAAGCTAGTCAAAAGGTGCAAAGTGTGAACTGGCCACTATTGTCCATCCAGAAAAGAAGACAACCCTTTCGAACGTATAGGAGAACTTACAGTGGGTGTAGTAATTACAGCTGTCAGATAAATGTAAGTGCAGTAAAAAAGTACAATAAAGGGCTGCACAATATGGTCAGAATCATACTGCAATTATTGTGGATAGTGACTGAGATTTACGGTTAGTGGGAATGGTCATTTTTTTATTACAATTTTCATTTTCACTGAAAACTATTAAAATCATGATGATGTTACATTTGTGTTTTCTTACATCTGGAGAACAATATAGCATAAAATGGAAAGACTCAAGTAAAGTTGAAGGACCACAAAATTGTACTTAAGTACAGTACTTCAGTTAATCTACTTTCCATTTCCACTTTCGACTGGACGTGCATCATGCTCCACCAGTTACAATGCCATGAGAAGTGAAGTGCTTGGAATTTAAGGCTTGTATTGCGTCACACTCTTCTCCTTCAGCAAACGCTGCTGTCACTGAGCCAAACCAAGCCAAAGTTAGCTCCCTCAAGTGTCCCCAACCAAAGAACTAAAGGGCTTTCAATCAGTCTGCATTACTGGCTGACTGTTCTTTTCCAAGAGCGTGCACAGAGGGAGACTACTAAACATTTACTGTACATGCAGTGGTAACTTTAAGAACTGGACATTTTGGCTTCATATCATAAACACACTCATATCGTAGTATGTTGGCTGATAAGTAACTGACGGGTCAGTACAGAAAGATATGTTTGAGGTCATTTAGAAAAAGTGTCTCAGTTACATAGATTGTTCACCAGAGAGAATGCTGATAAGTATTGGTCACATTAACCAAATAATTAAATATAGGTCATCCGTATGTGTTTGTGTAAAAAAACAGGTTTCCGTCAGCCTGAAGAATCCAGTATCAGTCAGACAGTGATGAAATGACAGGCTGTTATTATCCATCTTATGCATGTAAGAGCACTGTCTTCCTGTAAAGTGTCGTTAGTGGGTTGCACATCTTTTGTGTACACGTGTCAGTGATATTTAAATGAGACTGCTATCTTTAATCCCATATGATCTGTAAACAATATCACTGACGCTCTCAAGTATGACACATCTGCTTCATAGCTGGTACAATGACAACAACATAACATGGTTTCCACTCCCATTTCTTTTCTTTTCATTTATACTTAAAAAAAAAAATGAGGCTTTTTGTGTATCTTTGCTGATGTTCTTTAAATAAACTCGAATGCTCCATTTCTCTGACAGAAACAGAGTTGCACACAGGATTGACCAGAGGAACCTGCTCAGAGTAGGATGGCGAGACACCGAAGTGGCCAGGAACAGCTGGAAAATCCTGCAGTAGTGGGTAGGTTCAGGGTACACAAACCAGTCCTCCTGGAGGCAGAACCACTACACTTTCTGTGGCCTCATATTGCCTGCAGCTCTGTTGCTCTTGTTGTTTTATTCCAACATTTGGCATTTCAGTCCTGCAGTGTTGATGAGCAGTGAGGGAGACAATAAATGGCTGATGACAATATGTGATATAACAGCCACTCTGAGTCAGAACCACTGCAACTTCCTAATGAAATGCTGGCTGTTTCGTTCCTCTGCTTTACCAACAATGAACCTTTGTCTCGCGCCTGTTAGCGTTGCCGTGGCAACAGAGAAACAGCAGTACACCGTCTCCGTCAGGTGAACTCCTCCTTTCCTCATAATGTCAAACTTTTCAAACAATAATAATAATAAAAAAACACTGCTTTAATGTAACCACATCTGCCGGAACAAGAGGATTCCAAGGTTCCTGCCTTTCTCCGCTCTCATAAAGCCAGGAAAGGTTGTTGGTAAAAGCCGTTTCATAAGAGAGATAAATGTGAAAATGACATCAACTGTAAAACCTGTGAAAAATAAGTCTGAACTAATTCATCACACCAATGAAGTACTATTGCCTGACTGTTACATCAGCTGACATTATCCCCAAATTTAGTTTGTCACAGATATTGCCGTATATGTCAGCCGCTAAATAACAAACGGCAGTATAGAAATGTCAAAGATATGTTTAAGGTGCTTCAGAATGTCCTAATTACAACGTTTGTTTATGTAGGTTCATTTTGTGGCGATTCTCCCCTGTGGACAAGAGCGGTAGTGTTTTTGCCACCTTGTCTCTATGATTTGAATCTGACTACACAGAAATAACCAATCTTTTCGCTGATGGTCTTGTTTGTTTATGTAGGTCATAATGGCATCAGTTTTAAATTGGGATTCTCTCATAACCAGTTAAACTCCTTGTAGTACATTTAACATAAACAAATACACAATTTTGACTTGACATCGGCTGACTGAGCAAAATGCAGACTGGGACCCGATACCACATTTTAGACAGTATGAGAGGAATTTCTGGTACTAGTATTGGAACAATTCTAGCAAAAATGAGCTCAAATTAGAGTTCTACAACAAGAAAACACAAGGAGAAGAAGCCATTCCTTTTGATGAAGAGGCAGGAGGAGCTGTCAGGTATCTAACCCCGCTGCTTCTCTGCATAACAATGTGCTAAACTGGTGTAACATTTCACCTTGCTCGACAACCCCTTTTCGGCACAAGGCCTGCATTGTGCGAGTGTTAAAACACATACATGAAAGGGAGAGAAAAACAAGATAAGCTATTCTCTCCGCACACTTAGTTGTGTTATAAATCAAAAGGCTGCTTCTTTGGTATTTCCTGAGCCGGGGTTGTTATCAGAAACCGTGTGGGGACAAAGGCGACTGACAGTGAGCCTCAGCCTAGAAATGGCTAGTTGATTTCAGAGAGTAATGTACTGTAACTGATATTTACCCCTTTTGAAACTGGGTCATCCCTGACTCCTCTTCCACCTGCTCTGTTTATGGGGCTATAGGAAAACAAATGCACCGCACGCAACTCTTTAAATTCCTGTTGTGCTGGCGGGATGCAACTTTTATGAGTAACAGATTCACACGAGCCAGATCAACAAATCCCTAAATATCATGTCGGGCATGGCAGTGCTGCTGATGAAGGTCTGCTGTTGCCTTCAAGTTATATTGTGGGTCATATAGGTTACCACAGGCATGCGACAGCAGCACATAAATCTAATGGCGCAAGAGAGTTGCCTCATGATTTCAATGACAATTAAACAACAGCAGGCAGATAAAGAGCTTTAGCTGATTTGTTTTAGGCAGCAAATCCCTCTCATCAGACAAAATGGCTTGGCAAATTGGATTTTTATGCAGGGCTCATAAGCTTGGAGCTTTCTCCCAACAGCACGGGATGAATGCTGTTCCCTGCTGCACACCTCCCTGACAGGCATTAAGCTCAGGCTTTGTTGCCCGCATGTAGCTTAATGCACATTATTGAGCTAGATGCCTTCCATAAAGAACGCGGCATGAGATCATAAATCACAGTGTATGTTAAATCTGCAAAATCAAACTATTACTATTAATGAAAAAGGTTTGAGCGATGCAGTGTCATCACTCTGTAGTGTTTGCTATCAATTCCATCACCATCTGGCCTTTTCTGAATACTCTGCAGCACTGTTACACTGTCAACTGTAAAACACAGCACTGATGTTGATGGAGAGGGCAAAAGACTAGATAGATGGGTCCTGTTCTCCAGGCACAAAACTTAGGTTGTTTTTATTTATTATGTATTGTTTTACTTACAAAACTCAACGTCATGCTTGTGCAGAGCAGCTCTTCCACATTTTTCTACAGTCATGTGTTTTGTCAATACCAAAATGTCTCTAACAATCTCTAACAATTTGCATTTCCTTTCAATATTTTGGCAAAGACCCTGGCATTTACCTTACTGGACGATATACGATATTATCTCGTATCGTGGTAACACTTCTGTGATCATTGTGAATCGAGATAATCGTGAATAGATGCATAAATATATATGTTTAAAAAAATGTTTAAAGTGATTCCAGTATGTTTTAATGCCATTTTAAAAGTATGAAGCATATTTTCATGATTATTATGATAATACCGTGTATCACAGTTATTTTGGTTCCTGATCTCCTCAAGCCCTATTCTACTCCTAAAGTCCTTAGATGTGCTGACCAATCATTACTCTTCATTCCACACTCTCAATAAAAATCTAAAAGTTCATATTTTGGCCCTAAGCATACTTTTTTAATACAATATTATTATTCAAATGGCAACAAGTCAAGTACAAAATTAATTACCTGAATACAATGACATTTCTTTGAACATTGTTGGAAACATTTGGGGTGATGTAAGCGCACAACTCAACAGAATATGTAACATAGGTCCTGTTTAACTCTCATATATAATTGTAAATACCAACTTAGTCTTGAGGCATCTGTGAAATCTGGTATATGACCCTGTATTTGTGCTCTTTGCCTTACATATCTCCCTTGGGCAGAATATTTCTATTTTTTTTTAATGACGACTCATAAAGGATCCTCACTGAGTAAGAGCTTGTGTAATCCTGTGATGTAGGTGTGACTCAAACTTTGGACAAGTTAAATAGTGATGATTAAGTCCCTGAAGGGCAGGTCGTTGTCTGAACATGGACTAACCTTGGCCGGAGCACACACCTCTGACAGATGGAACATGACTTCAGGCTGTTTCTGAGCAGTCATTGTCTTTCTGTGAATTTGGGTAATAACTGATCTATCGAGCACTGAGTTTGGAGAAAATATGAACCGCTGCTGCAGGCTTGAGTCGTTGCTGTTTGGAGTTCTCCGTTATGATGAAAACAGCACAAAACACAACACATGCTAAACTATTCCTGATGGGTTATCATGTGGTTTGAATTCACCAGATGTCAAACTCCCAATTTCAACTCTTATATTATCCATACAAAGCCATACAAAGAAGAAACGTTCACTGCTTGGTTTCATCAAAGACATGAGAAATTGTGCTCTTTTTAGCCCTTAAAAAAAATGAAATATTGGTTACGTTCACACTGCAGGCAAAAGTGACCCAAATCCCCCTTTTTTTTCGGCTCATGTGACTCAGATCAGGTTTTTTTTTTACATGGAATCCAACCAAAGCCACTTTGATCTGACACAGCGACCTTAGCATGTCATATCAGAATTTAATCAAATATAGCCCTAAGGCTATGTTCAATTCTCATTTACTGCTCACATTAGGGTTTCTTGTTTGGCTGTTCACATTATTTTTTAAATGTAGCCAATATCAGATTCCAGTGTGAACAGGTCAGGGTCTTGAATTGATCCGCATGTGCAAAGGAACAATAATAGACGTCACACGCGCAGTCTGGAGGCCAGCATTTACGGTTTCTACGATGTGCTACGAGGCCAAGTGACTCACGCCAGGCAGAAAGCTAATGAGCATGGTAACCATGGCGATGGATATCTATCTCGGCTGTTGATTGGCCACGTGCGCTAGTTGTGACTTCATGTCCAAACTAGTTAGGTTACGCCCCTGGTAATCACAGATTTGAGCCACTTTTAACTGCATTCTGAATGTAGCCGTTTTGTTCTGATTTATTCTCAATTAAATGAATATATATATACTTAACATGACCAATAGATGCCATCAAATTTATCAGGTTTTGAAATGGGTAAAAACAGTGACAGTATCATGACTATGATGCAGCGAATGCTTCCTCGTGCTAAGAATGCAGACGGAAGAGTTCAAATGTTAAAAATGTGATCTAAAATGAGTTTTGTTGAATGTAACACTGCATGCAACAACACAACACAACAACATTATAAGATGATTGTGGTAGCAGCACCAAACTAAGTGTACAGAAGATAAAGGACAAAGTAGGTTAGCTGAGACTGGGTGACATATTGATAAAGTACTGATATCCTGATATGAGCATATCAGCTCAGATTCTTCCTGTAGCCGGGCTGGATGATAGGATGTCAAATCTATAGCACAATGAGCTGTCACATTTATCTCAATACCACCAAATATGACATGTATTTTCAATATGTCTGTACGTGATGTTTGAATCTTTACAGTGCGACCCAATTTACAATTCTGGACTTGGTCTGGACTATAATTTGATCATTTAGTTTATTGTCCAGCCCTACATGCAAGGTGATTACAGATTGTCTTCTTGGTTCAAAGTGATTCAGGTTTTTTAAATGACCAAGCTGTCAAGCTGTGCAAAATGAAAAGTGAACGTGCCATTTGGCCTTGACAACTAACTTCTGTGTGCAATTTCCTTGTGAAAGGGTCAATTTGATTTCTAAATCTGGATTCGGGGTTTCTGCAGGTCTTCAGTAAGACTTTTAAAGACCTTTTAAGATTTAACACCAATTTAACACCTATTTTACATCCATACTGGTAAAGAAAAATACCAGGATATGAAGGAAAATCGCGGTTGGTTTCCTTTTGTAGCTGTTGCAGCATGAGCGATACAAATCTTCCCAAAAACTACACTGAAAAATGCAACTTTGTGGAAGTAATGTTAATTTAATGAATCCCTGTCAAAATCATATTTAATGCCTTAAATTCTGATTATTTTTCCTTTACGACCCCGTGGACAACCTGAAATAAAAGATTCCAGAAGCAACAGCATTAAATGCCACAATTTAATTAACAAATATCATATTAAATTACACGTAAACAAGTATAAGAATCTGACACTCAATGCCAAATGTCAATGCTTTGATATTTTGAAGTCATTTCGCAAGCAAAAACACCAAACATTCTCTGGTTCCAGCTACTCAAACAAGAGAATTTGCTGTTCCCTCGTCTTACATTACATTTATTTTGGTTTTGTACTGTTGGGAAATCAAAACAAGAAATGCAATGACGCCACCTTGGAGTTTAGGTTAAATTGTCACTGTGTGATGATGTTTAATATATCAAATGATTGATAGTTTAATCATAAAAGCACTGACAAATGACTTGTTAATAAAAACAATCAAGATTTGTTACAAACATTCATTGGTTCCAGCCACAGATATAAATGAATAATTGCTGATTTTATGTTTTATGATAGAAAACAAAATCTGTTGGTTGGACAAAACAAATCCAATATGTCAACTTGGGACATTGTAAAGTGGAATTCTTTCTTAACCTTTTTTTTTATAATGAAACCTATAAGAAGTTACAGTCCTGCTTGAAATATTTTGATTGTCATTACTACAGTACTGAGGTTCTATACGCAAGCCTACTGCATTATCTTCTCCTAGGTTTTGTTATTAAATATATATAAACACAGTAGATGCATAATCTCCAGTATTTCACTGTTCTGTCTGTCTTGAACTTTTGGGGTCAGTCATTCATGTGCTTGTAACTCACCAACTGTAGCAATGGTCTCCAGGTCATCAAGGCAATATATCCTGTTATTGGATGAAGCCTCTCCAGCTGAACTGCTGGCGTTGCTTTTACTTTCTTTCAGGGAGTTGGTCTCACTGTTGACTCCGACCTTTACTTTGGAGGACGCCATTTTTGTATCTTTTCGGGGACTAGCTGACTATTTGTGTTCATAAATATCCAGTGGGACGCAGACAGATCGTCATATCGTACATTGCTGGACGGAGGGAGTTATCGTCACTTCATCTTCTTTGTCTAGCTTTGGCAGTGCAGACTGTTTTCGGACAGTGACGCCTTCAACATTTGGTTCAAGTGAGCAGACAAAAGTGGCTAACGTTTATGTTAAAAAGTTCGGCAAACTAACAGACAATAGGTAATGAAGCCACCGACATGAGTGAGACAAAGAAGCTAGTGACAGGTGCACAGCACTGGCACGTAGCGTTAGCGACTTTGGTTAGCAGCTAACAACCCATAGTGAGCTAATGGGAAATGTACCGCAACACTGGAGGTATGGAAGGGAAGCGGGACAAGAGAAGCTCCGGAAAGACTGTCTGCTGGTCCGGAATAAAAGGGAGTTTTAAAACCTCACTAACTTGATAAATTCCATGGCTTTTCTCACTCAACTTCGCAGGTTTTTCTTCATTATTTACACAGCTACAACAGCAGACCTCACCCAGCAGTTCTTCCCTGTGTCCACATCAACCAGGAAGAGGTAACGTTACAGTATCAGTGTCCAAATAATATCCGGTCAGGACTTTCAAAATAAAACATGTTACCGTCTCCATGGCGAAGTTAATAAGTAACTCCAAGTCCGCGAGAGAATGTCATTGTTTTTTGTCATGATAAATATGTTCTAAATGAAAAAAATATTCATATTTTTGCTGTAATTAAGTAACTGAAGTGCCGGTTTTTATTTAATTATAAACACGTTTTAGACTACACTGTTCAACTTCTTATCTGTTCGACCTAACTGTATGTAACTTGACACAGTTGGATGACAGGAGCTGCGTGTTGACAAAATGCAGCCAATAAAAATGAAGCCGTCCCGGACATCAACCAATAATGTTTGAGGAAGGGTGTGGTGATAAAGACAGGTATGATAAACTTACAGTATACTCACAATATATAATTACGGATGAACTAAAAAAAAAAAATCCAAATCAAACAAACCTACGGTTAATGAAATACATTTAGGTGAAATAAAATAAATATTTTTATATAAATATAAAAATAGTCTGCTTGGAACAGTTGTGTGTGTCTGATATGTTCTTTTTCTGCATTTCCATATTAAAATCCTTAATATTTTTATTTATTTCTACTACTTCCTTCTACCTCATTAAAAACTCAAGAATCTAAAAATATGCAAATTGTGTTAATTTCTAAAGTTTTCCTGCTGGACTGCAGATGTCTCCTACTTCACTGTTAAGGCCATTCTCAGTGTATGTGCACTGGTGGCTTCATGTTTCTATATCACGCTTGTAAAAGTTGCATACTGGACCAGGATTGACTTCCAAACTATTTGACCTTTCACCCAGTCCACATCAGATGTTGGTTTCCTGGTTTCCCTGTGGTCTATGGCAATTTATCTTCAAACTTCCATGAAATTGATTTATGAAACACATTAATGCTCTAATGTATGTATGTATGTATGACATAATTTACTGATCTTCATGAGCTTTCATTTAGGCCTAAATGTCAACCTTCAAGATATTAAATAATCAAATTTATCATCTGTCCAGAGATCTGCCAAGCACATTCATGCTCCCAGAACAAAAAATCTACCTAGAGTGACTAGCTTACGACTTGCAACACAAAGTGTAGGATTTTGACTTGAACTGGGTCTTGCTGGTCTTGACCAGCGACATATATAAAGATGAACAACACTTATTTTGCACAGTAGTGATCAGGGTGTCAGCTGTCAATCATCACGTGAAACACTCTTTTGATAGCATCAAATAAGTAGTTAAAACAAAACTTATAAGAAAAATTGTAACATTAACATACATAGTTTGGCGAAACTAAAAAATGTCCCATCCGCTAACATGGAGGGGGCAGGGTTTATAAACTATACTGCAACCAGCCACCGGTGGGCGATCAAGATATTTTGGCTTCTTTTTTAGGAAGCTGTCATGTTGTACAACTGTATATATGTCGATGGTCTTACTTATAACCAAGACTGGGGGAAATGGTGGAATTCAATTTAAAGCAGCATTAATTGATTTTTTCCAGACCTCTGGGAGCAGCAAAACAAGCTGTAAACACAACACCGACCTATTATTACCCTATATGGTGAACATGTTATCAAACAGCTACTTATTTGCACATCCAGCAGATGCTGGATGAAGGTTCTCTCTCTAGTTTGTTCTCCACCAACTCCTTTATCAGAGCTTTTACACTGAAAACATCTGCCTGCTACTGCAAAGGACGAAAATGAAAGCTTTGAAAATGAACAAAAACAGTGTGATGAGCTAAATGAGCTAAAAGAGCCTAAAAAACTGAAGTTGAGGGAAACTGCAAAGTTGGATAATTCTCTGTGGGTTGGACACCAGTGGTGACCTCCGTGGCTGTTAAATGATGCCAACCCAGAAGTGCTTAAAACTGCAGTTCCTCAAATGGCAACTTGAAGCTCGCTACAGAAGTGAGTCAATCTCCAGAACCCCTGTAGGAAAACGTTTGTAACAGAAATAAACATGTCTACAAGCTGTTTCAAAAAACGGTTTTGATTTTTGTAGCAAATTTTCCCATTCATGACAACTGTATGTGGGGTGGATTTTTATATAACTTATTGTAAGGCTGAAAGTTATGCATAATTGGCCACTTTTCTGTTGTTCCAGTTTTATTTATACAGTACAGTATTATACTTTTTTTTTCTGATTTCAATCCAATATTGCTTTTCAAATGCATAAATGAGTCCCCTTTAATTATCCCATGAGTCTGAAGGCTATACTGGGATACAGGGTTAAAGTTGTCAGGGGGCAAAAGAGGAAACTCAAGACATCTGTGCCCCTAACATAGACTTAAAATACTCCACACTGAGTCAGCTACCCTTCACTGCAGAAGAGGACTGAAGTCCTGGTTGGACACTGTGACTGCTTGGGACTGATTCATTTAAATATGGCTTGCAGTGTTGCTCTGCTTGCTTTGAAGTCCTGTCTGTCCCACAAATGAATATTTTACACTGACATAACTTTCCTTCAGCGTGGCATTAGCCTCCTCTGGACTAAATAAATCAGCACAATTCTGCATATTAGAGCAATGTGTAACACAAGCACATTCATTTTAATCAAAGATCATTCAGATTTTCAGATTTTCACATTCAGTTATTACATAGTTTTAAAGTTTTGTGACCACATTAGCAATGCAAAGCAGGATGGCTCTCTATTAGTATTCATGCTTCAAACTGTCTGCAGCATGAATGGAATAAAGATGCGTTTGATTTAGACAGAGGTGGCCTAACATTTGCACTTGCGTCCTCAAGCTGTGAAACTATTTTGGCGCTCCACTATGATACTGCCACAGCTCCTCTGAAGCTGTCTGTCAAACACAGAGAAAAGCAGAGAGGCTTTTAGGAGGATTTCAGTCGGAAAGATAAGGTTTTTGTGGAGGGCTTCTGATTCACCTGATGTGCTTGAAAGAGTTATCTTGATGAGTGATACTTTAAGTAATTATGTTAACAAAGAATGTCTTCAGCGATATCAGCTAATGATCTGCTATCATGGACCAAGTTTATTAAACCGACTTCAACGATTAGGAGAAAATAAGGAATTATGACATTTAATTATGGCACGACTCTTTATTCATGAAAGAAACCTCTCCATATCCTAAACTTTTGGAATATCAAATATCAGTTTCTTTTTTTTAAATTGGCTTTTAAAACCTGCACACTATACAGGAAAGAGTTAAGATGATGGGCTTGTGACTACAGTCTTTCCTCTTTATCAATGTACCAGTATTTCCTATGTGCAACATTGTGAATTCAACTGAGTATGTTTACTTATTTATTGATACTTCTTGCTGTTACTGGTCTGGTAATTCAGACCATCTTTGTCGAGTCCAAGGCCAGGAATAGTCCAAATCAAGTCCAGAGTCATTATTTAAAGAGATCATCACTCTAAATGGTATTACCTTGGCCTCCAGCACCACCGTCAGGAATCTTGGAGTTATCTTTGATCAGGATATGTCCTTCAACTCCCACATAAAGCAAACGTCTAGGACTGCC